AAATGGCATGGTGCTTGGACCCTCAAGCCACATGCACCGCGACACAAATCCTCAGAAATTCCAGGCCCACTCCATCGAGTGGTTTTGGGTGGGGTCGCTCTGTGCTCAAACACCTGGGACATCCCATGCTTCGCGCTCAAAACTCTCCAGATTGGTCTGTTCAGGGGCCCAAAGGCCAAGTTCATGAAAACTGATATATATATATATATATGTAGAGTACAAGTTGGCCCAGACAGGTCCAGCAGGACCTTGACCTCCCTTTCGAAGCCCAAAGTTTGGTCAATAAGCACCAATATGGCTGAGAATCAAACCCTGTTTTGTCGCGGCCCCCCCGCCACCCCCTGTTGCATACCCCTTTGTCGCGGCCTGTTGTTTGTTGTTACATACCTTTGTCGCGAATGCTTGGCGCAGGTATGCCCTACAAAAGAACCTTGTCGCGAAGGTGCTTGTCGCAAGCCAGGAAATTCTGTTACAAACCAATGTCGCGGATTGGCCGCCGAAGCCTGTTCCGACCCCCTGTTTTAGATTCACAGCCATATCAGAACTGCGACACCTCGAAAAAATGAGATGGCATCTGAATTTTTCATGTCAAAAATAACCAACAGAATTGATCCTAGCTGCCCAATTGCGACAAGGATAACTAGAACAAATATGCCCTATTTCTTCATGATGGTGCGCAGCTCTGTCAGATTGGCTCTCTTAGCATGATGGTTGTCATGGCGTTTACCAATTGTAATCATCCACACGGCGACTCTGGCACGCGGCCCGACAGCGGTGGAGATTGTTGATGCTGCTGTTATGGTTGGCGTTGGTAGTGAAGCGAGTAGCATGGAAGAAGGTTGGTGACATGTTCTGGCAATGGCAATCCTTTTTTTGCTATCCTTTGACGAATCAGATGATCAGGAGTGGCCTGATCAAAAGTGGCAGGCACGGCAACCTTTTTCCTGAGGTCTGACTTGTATGAGGAGCGGGTATTGGCCCTCGCATTATGATGGGCGGCCCCTTGAAGGTGTGAATTGCCACAGCAGAGCAGCGACAGCGCCATAGATGATTAGCAAAATCAAGGACAACGACAGCCTACTAGCAATCTGCTCGTAGAGACGGTCTTCTAAAAATGCTACAACGCAAGGGACAAATGCCCCTACTTCTGCAAGAGTCATGGTGAGAAGGGTGTCCAAGAACCGGTTGCAGCACCGGGCCCGCGTGTGGTAGCACAAGCGGAGCATTAGATTGGCAATGCACGGGACTACTGCCAGCCAGTAAGTGAAGGCTCGAATTATCTCATAATGCCGTACTTTCCCTTCGCCAAAACCCAGAACACGACTATCAAACAGAATCCAGAGTAGTGGCGCTGTGGACTGCATGACGCGGCTGTATGCGACGGCAACGTTGGCGAGCTGGTTGGCAAGAATGGTCCGCACTTTGGTTTGCGCACACAGCTCGAAGGCGGTCACCGATCCAAACCAAGACGAGATGCATTGAAGGATCAGCTGGCGGTCACAGCGTCGGCCATCCGCATGACCATGTGCACAACAGGTGCTAATAGCTTGTTCAACAGTGAAATTGCTGGTTTGCACCTGCATTTCCTGAATGGTGCGTCTGACGTCTTGTGCCAAGCATAAAACAAGTTCTCAGGGGGTCCAGGCGGCTAGTGTTCTTCAAAACGGCCCCGAGACTCAAGATGCCTTCAGTCTTCAGGGCATCATCGTCCTGATTGATGCAAGCGATGTCCAGAAAAGCCAGCTGCTGCCTACGAAAAAGAAGCAGCATCAAGTAATGCGTGCCGACTCCAAAGAGCGTGCACCACCGGGATTCGAACCCATGCTGGCCTACCCATGGCGGTAGAACGTCCAAGATGACAAGGGTACCAGCTAACATAACCCCCAGCATCCCCACCAGGAATGCCGGCATCCCATTAGTGAGGAAGAGTATGTTCAAGTACTTCAGCCAGGTAGCAGCCTGCCAGCTGTGGGACCAAAACTCATCGAGTTCAGTTGTTTCCCTGCTGTATCCATGGAGTGTATGGAGCAGACCTTGCCACCAGTACCGCGGAGCGTGCTGTAAGACTTGGAAAACCGGAATGCCTCGAACTACCCCTGGGCGTGTTGGCTGCATAGACAGTATAGAAAGTTGCAACTCCACAGACACCTCAGGTGTCGTGGAGCCAACTTCTGATGCACCAAATGGCGGTCCCCTGTCACTGGCTGCACCGATACAGGCGGGCATAGCCTTCTGCGAAAACTTCGGCATGGCATCAGGGTTAAATCGTAAATTCGGCCGGGGTTTTATACATAATGTGTTAAGAAAAAAGCCTCACCACAGTACTAGCTGGACCTGCCCCCATATATGCCTTCAGTTGCGAGCAAAACCATCGAGCCCAAGCAGCCCTCTTGCAGCATAGGGGTCATATAAGGGTATATCTAGGCTTAATCTTGGGGCGAAATGGTGTTATATAGGGGTATATATAATCTTCATATTAGGGCTATATAGGGGTTATATAGGGGTATATATAGGCTTAATCTTGGGGTTATACAGGGGCAATATTGGGATAAATGGAAACTGCTGCTCAGGTAGCTCGGAATACTGGATAATGCAAAAGAGAAAGGAAACTACTGTTGTATATTGGGGTTATATTGGGGATATATAGCGTTATATTGGGGTCATATAGGGAAGATATATATAGGGAAATGGAAAAGAGCATGGAAACTACATTGCCGGTGTGCCATGCTAACCCAACGTAGGCAATAGCTGGCTTTGTGCGAAGAATTGCAATGATCACCTTAAACCCCAAACCCTAAATGGTATTTCCATTTTATGCTCCATTATCCCAAATATAACCCCTACATGACCCACAAAGATAAAGATCCTGAGAACGCGATTCCTCTCTCAGCAGTTTGGAATTGCAGGGCCTCACCGCTCACAATGACTTTTGTGATGATGTAAATGAGCATGACGGTGCAAAGCTCGAGGTGTATCTTAAAGACTGCGAAATCAATCAAGGCATTCGTCTTGTAATCAGTACGGTAGTGGTAACACCGTGTGGCCAGTACGTACTCCGAACATTCATGAGAGCTATAGTCTAAACTCCTAGTATCCCCCTTAATAACCCCTATAGTAAGCCCCTATATAACCCCCCATATAACCCCCCTTTAAGGAGTTTAGACTATGGCTCATGAGAAGAATGGTGCAGCCCTCATCACAAGGGCCTTCTACATGACAGGATGAAAAAGCAGAACACCCACCCTCGCTTCCACCGTGTTCAGTGGGTTCTAATGATGACCCGTCTCTGGCAAGGTCATGTCCATGTGTCCACAAGCTTGGGCACGGCAGAAGGGGAATCTGAAGAGCTGAAATACTGCTGTACGTTCATCAAGTTCTTCGGTCATTCATGAGACTGTAGATGGGAAATGAGAAGCCCCGCCAAAAGTCCGCAGCCCTGCTTATGCATCAAAGCTGCTCCGTCAACCCCGCCCTGAACCAAGAACCCCAGCCACGGAGCGTGATTTTTGCCCAAGACTGCACCATATCGGAACGGTCGTAGCCGAGAAGCTCCAATGCCTGCGTGATGAGTTTGTCATAGTAGGGATTTAGGGCCTACTACTTAGGGATTAATATCAGGATGTGAACTAGGGCTCTGGCTTGTGGCGCATGTAGTTCACGCTTCCATCCATACATACACAGGACCTCTTCTAGGGAACTGATGTAGGGGATGGTTCTGCTGGGCCTTTACTTCAATGACAGGGGAAATGCTTATTCCGAATGTTTACTACTGGCACGGAGCAAACTCATTGCTGGGCTTGGGAGTCGTGTGCAAACCTGAAGACCTTCAGTCTTGACTCGCTTTGGTATCGAGTGGTATATTCCAAATTTTGCACTGTAAGAACGCAGCCTAGCAAGCAGCTGTATTCCTGTCAAGTGTTCCAACATGGTGTCGAGGGCACACCCTAAGCTGCAAATCTTCGACCTTACCTAGACCCGAACCCCCGCATCTAATATGATCCCCTCCTAATATTACATGTTTCCACAATAGTAGGCCGTATTCAATGCAGTCAATATTAGGGGGTGGTGGGAGGGGATTAATGTGACTTACCAAGTCCAATACATTATGAAATTCGGGGGCTGGAACAGAACCCCCCCCTTAAATCAACAAGTTCCAGCCCAAATCCATTTTTCAAGAGGCAGCTTCAAACGAAAATATGTGTCCACTCCATACAGTAACCCTGCATCAGCAATACCCCAGCCATCCACCACAAACCAAAAACCTCCATATCCGCTCTAGCGCTTTACGCTCGCAACCCCCCCAAAAAATCGCAGTCTTGCCGTACCAAGTTTAGAAAGACAGCAACAAACCTTTGCTCATGATATCGCGTTCAGAAATCTTTTTCCTTTATTCACGGCTTTCCCACCCCGAATCTCAAAGCTTGCCACACCTGCTTGTCCAAAGCAGCAGCTATGAGCTTGAGCTGCTTACCGGTCAGCCCATCCTGGTGGTTCAGGGTTTAAAGTCAAGGGGTTGACGGTACGGTGCAGGGGTTTAGGGCTTGGGGTTCCTGACAGGATCCCCAAAGTCATTCCCCGACCGCGTCCTGGGCATCGTGGAACGACAGTGGCTTTGTTGTGCAAGAGAGAAATTCTTTACAATGGCACTTTATGTAAGGATACCTTTCAGAAGTGACAGACCTGACTAAGGGTTTGAGGCCCTGAGGCCCACTCCAAGCAGAACGCACATCCTGCCGGTGCTGCTGCTGCTGAAGCGGCGGCTTCAATTCACAGGACAACGCTGAAACTGTGGTAGATGGAGGCACAGGTGATAACAAGTACTGGTACCAAAAAAGAAAGACAGAGAGACACGCACATAGACAAATAGCAAATCTAGCCATAGCGATAGGAACATCTGGAGCGGAACTCTCGTTGTTAGCACTGTCAGCAAGGTTTGAATGTCTGCGGTTCCGAATGAATATCACAACTCACACGGGGACGCCTCACAAAACAGCTAGCCGCTACTGTAGCCATGAGTCAAGACTGCATGCGACCGAACTTGCTGGTTTTTTTTTTGACGTCTGGTGGGGTCTTGAGGGGGCTCGGCTTTTTTGGTGCGCAGTCCTGGCCCGGGAATCCTGTGCAATACAATAGTTTTCTATATGCCTCCTTATTGCAATAGTGGAAAAGAAGCTGTGAACACGCACATGCACACTCACACAAAACAAACAAAGATGCATCGACTGCTCTTCTCGCGCCTTCAGGTTCTTCGGATTGCCGTAAAAGTCGAGGGCCTCCCCCCGAGTGCGGCATTCTTTGTGTCCTGCGCTCAGCCTAGAACACTCAGTGCGCCTGATCGTGACAGCAATCCTGAACTCTTGGTGGTTCCACTTTTCCTCAATCCTTGATAAACACCCTTTCCCCCTTTTAGCTTTCCGAACCAAATACCGTGGAATCATGGAAGCATGTACGATAGAGGATTGTTTACGGTTAACGTTGTAGGAATGCAAAAGTGCAAAGGATGCTCTGCCCTAACCAACAAGCCTGCATTCGATTCAGCGCTGCGAAGCTCCAGAGTAGGAACCACCACCCTAGTAACGAATAGAGTTGTACCAAAATGCAAACGCTTGCTATTGGGAAGGACAGAGGTCATCAGAAGGGTGAGAGGATAACTACGCGTTCGTCTTCTTCATGGTCCCTGTCTAAATTCCTTGGAAGCATGGGGAGACACGGCACCAGCGTCCAAGGCCACACGAGGCTTTCTTGGAGAAAGGTTTGTGGAGGACTCTGGAACTCTGGAATCTGCTGACAATCTTCTGGGTTGCTGTCAAGGAACTTAGAAGAAAGTATAAGGAGATCCTGTTGGCCCGATTCTTCTATATACCCTTATCTTGGTAACTTAAGTATCTAATTTCCTTTAACCGCAACTCAGTCTTGATTTAACGGTGACGTCCTTCTCGTGCAAAAACCTACATGTACCGACATTTCGTAGGGAATGGAGACACGGACCTTGCCAGTACTGGCAACAGAATGCGCTCCAAGTGTCCCTATATGCCCCATGCTTTAATCTTGATTCCCTACTAGCCACAACTGCACATAGACTGTAGCAACCATGTTGAGCATACGGCTGCAGCCACCAAAATCAACATGAGCATTGCTTAAGCGCGTGTTCCCTAGACATACTCGTCCAAAGAAAATAATCCTGACTACCCGGGCCCTCATTTTTTGCCAGCGCTTCGGCTTGTTCCCTGCTCAGTTTGAGCGCTCTGGGTCTTTTCTGGAGCTTTGACTTCTTGGTTGTCCAGGGGTTTGGGTGGCTTAGGACACAAGGTGGTAGGGCTTCAGGGTCGGAGTTGTAACTGAGTAATAAACCCGAACTTCTGGACTTGGTCTCAAAAGTCTCCATGACATAGAGCAGAAGTTAGCATCCCATCGCAAAAGCGCCTTACCAATGCTCATGTCTTGTCTATATGTTGAGGAAGGGATATGTGAAACCAGGGGGTTTAGGGTTCAAGTGTACTCCAAACTGCGACTAGATTGATTCACACGCCCCTCCTGAGGACCTGGAGGGTGAGATGCCTATTTGTAATCCTGATTTGTTCAGGGACGAGATTTCTGAAGCAGGGGCCCATGCTAGTTGGCATTGTCTTCTTGTTCCTCTGACCAACCTGCTCGGACTCTTTTCAGGATGGCGTCATGTTACTCCATGACCCAAAAATGTGTGTAAGGTACGTACTTGCTTTAAGCTTACATTCCTGGATCGCACAGCCAATGAGAGCAAATCTACAGTCAACGGTAATTAGCAAGGAATGGCCATGGGGGTTCTATTGGATCATAAATTTGGGACAAAACAGGATTCGAATAAAGAACCCAGTGTCGGATCTGAGTGTGCCCTTTGGAGCCTACTGGCAGCAGCTTAACAAAGAACCGTCAGCAGCTCGAAACTTGCAGTCCCACACTGCAAGGCCCTTCGAGCCGTGGAGCATCCTTTGCCCAACTTCTTCGTGCGTGTGTCTAACACCGTGCGGAAAAGTTCGCAATATCGGAGGGGAACATGTCAAGACCAACAATGGCCAGAACTTACAACCGTAGATACAACCCAATTCGTCTCAGCAATGATACGCGTAGACATTATGCTAGTAGTGGTGGTAGCTAGCATAGGAAGGATGCCACAAAAGCATTCCCAGCCTATCAACGCAGAGCACGATACTTAAGAATGCTGCCGCTGATGCCCAACCCTATCAGTTTGCTCAACAAGGGTCTGTAAAGTCGCAGCATGATGCTATTTTCACAATATTAGTAATAAAACGAGTGATAATAGAAATAGCAAGCAATAGTAAATAACAATACTTACAAAGTAATGATAGCAATAATAGAAATTAAAAATACTAGTAGTAGAAATAATAATGATTATGATAACAATAATAATACGAATACAATAATAACAGTAGTAGTAGCACTACTAGGAATAATACTAGTAATCACTTCTCCATACTAATAAAACCCACCCTAATAATAAATAATAAATCCGGGACCCTAAAAATCCCTCATGAGCATTTTAAAAGGGGCTGTACTAATTTTAAAAGGAGCCAGACCATAATGAATTAGGGGGTGTTT